ATTTGAATAGTTACATAGATTAAATAATGGCTCAGATGAGTGATTCTCAACCTTGGCTGCACATTTCAGACACCCAGGGAACTATTTAAAAGAAACACAAGTCTGGGGATGCTTGTGGTAACTCAGTGGTTGAGTGTCTGTCTTTGGCTCGGGGCTTGATCCTGGGGTCCTGGGATCAAGTCCTGGATCGGGCTTCCTGCATGGAGCCTGCTTCTCCCTCTGCCTATGTCTCTGCCTCTATTTCTGTGTCCTCTCATGAATAAATAAAATCTTAAAATAAATAAAAGAAACACAAGTCTGGCCCCTCGACATAAATTAAGCCAGAATCTCCCAGAGAAGGTCAGCATGGGATCCAGGTGTCATGATTTATGAATATACCTGGCATTTCCAGTGTTCAGTTAGAGCTGAAAACCACTGGTTTAGGTAAAGGTTTGAGTAAATTATTAAAAGTAAAAGTTAAGGGAAATTAGGATGATGTGAGAATAATTGCAGGCTTTTTGTATTTTATATAATATGGAAATGGGAGAGTTAATTGGAATGGACTTTAGGTACCTATGTAGAGTCTGTATTGTAGTTGCTTTTTAAAGTAAGATCTGATTGAAATGTATTGGTGGCCAGAAATTTCCTGCTTTCTTAGGCAACCTGATCTACTTCCAGGTGTCATATGATTAACAGTTTCTTGTAATACTGACTTGTAATTAATTTGTTTGTGACTGAACACATTACTCCTAATTCTGCCCCCAGAGCTACTCAAATAACCCTGTTCCACAGGACCTGTAAATATATGAAAAACCATTCTCTTGCTTCCATAAAGTAATTTCTTAGTTTAACATCCCCAGTTATTTCAGCCTCTATTCATGGGACATTGAAAAGTACGTACCAGGAAAGATTAAGAAAGCTCCTAGTAAGTATTGGAGCAGGGACTTGAACCTGAGCAATCTGGCTGCAGAATCCGTGACATTAACCACAGTTGGAAGTATGCACTTGAAGTTGAGGACCAAGATAGGGAGAGAAGACAGAGTGATCCCTTCCCCCTAGCTGAAACACAGTTCAGTTGTGTGCCTGGCAGTGGGATAGACAGTGGGGATAAGACAAGTAGCTACACTGTGTGTCCTGAAAGTGCCCAGAGCAGGGCATTGAAAGGAGACTGAGATAGACTGAGGATGCAGCAAACCTACATTAAAGTTTATTATCATTGTGTAAATCATTAGAGAAGACTGAGAATCAAGATACACTGAGGGCGCTAGGTGAGGAAGGAAGCAAAGTAGATCAAGAGTTTCAAGAGCAGTCAAGAGGCTAATCATGTCCTCTGTAGTAGATGTCATTGGTGAGAACCGTATTAGTAGTGTGGCAGGGCAGACACCATATTGCTTTTATTCATGTAAATTTGCATAGAAATGAGATGGAAATCTTTAAGATCTTCAGAAGACAAAGGGGAAAAACAATAGGAAAGAAAACAAAATCAAAAGAACTGTAAATACAAACGTATGGGAAATATTCAACCCCAGTATTCAAAGGGTGGAAATTAAAAATACAATCTAAATTTAAAACAACTTAAAAATGCAATGTTCATAGACTTCTGTTTCTGGCCAAGAAGGAATAACAGGAACAACAACAGCAACAACAATAAAAAGACAGACAAAATACATGAAACAATTATCTAAGACCCTGGATATCGGATGACAAAGGACTGTCATCCCTGGGAGATAGAAAATCAGTGAGGTAAGCCTTCTCATTGCCCCAGTTTATTGCCTTGAGAGGGTTTCCAGTTTACAACAGAGGAAAGAGAAACTGAGGTGAAGCCCAGCAGACTTCCTGAGTCAAGGATGGAGCTGAGAATCTGGGAGATTCTGTTCATAGGACAGACCATCAAAGAGGAGGTCTGCAGAGGGTCTCCCACAAGTACTCAAGAGCACAGAGCAATAACTGTGTGTGAAGAAACTCCCCAAAGCCAGGGAAAGAATCCTCTAAAAGGTTGGAGGGAATAGTCCTGATATTTGCATGGGGAATACTACCTGTATTATTTAAATTAAATTAAATTAATTTACTTATTTTTGTATATTTTTTATTGGAGTTCAATTTGCCAACATATAGTGTAACACCTAGCGCTCATTCCATCAACTGCCCCCCCCTCATTGCCTGTCACCCAGTTACCCCATTCCCTGCCCACCTCCCCTTCCACTACCCCTTGTTTCCCAGTTAGGAGTCTCTCATGTTCTGTCATCCTCTCTGATATTTCTGACTCATTTTGTCTCCTTTCCCCTTTAATCCCTTTCACTATTTTTTATATTCCCCGAATGAATGAAACCATATAATGTTTGTCCTTCTCCAATTGACTGTCACTTACTTGATATAATACCCTCCAATTCTATCCACATTGAAACAAATGGTGGGTATTCATCGTTTCTAATGGCTGAGTAATATTCCATTGTATATATAGACCACATCTTTATCCATTCATCTTTTGACGGACACCAAGGCTCCTTCCACAGTTTGGGTATTGTGGACCTTGCTGCTATAAACATTGGAGTGCAGGTGTCTCGGGTTTTTCCTGCATCTGTATCTTTGGGGTAAATCCCCAGTAGGAATGCTACCTGTAACTACTAGCCAGACTGGAAAACTCATGTAATTCTTGGAGCATTGGGAGTGGAAATACATATGTAAAGCGCTAAAAGGAAAAATTACTCTAATTAGAATTATAAATTCAAAAATATTTTTTTTTAATTTTTATTTACTTATGATAGTCACAGAGAAAGAGAGAGAGAGGCAGAGACACAGGCAGAGGGAGAAGCAGGCTCCATGCACCGGGAGCCCGATGTGGGATTCAATCCCAGGTCTCCAGGATCGCGTCCTGGGCCAAAGGCAGGCGCCAAACCGCTGCGCCACCCAGGGATCCCTAATTTAAACAACAAAGATAAGACAATAAATGGGAGAAAATATTTGGAAATTGTATATCTGATAAGGGTTTAATATATATAGGATATACAAATATGTTTATATATACTTAAATACATGTGTTCATATATAGAGTATATAAAGAACTACAAGTCAATAACAAAAACACAAACTTTCCAACTTAAGAATGGGCAAAGAATTTAAACATTTCTACAAGAAGGATATACAAATGGCACTAATTAATGCAGATCAAAATTATAGTGAAATATCACTTTATGCCAACTAGGATGGCTATAATAATTTTAAAAATGGAATAACAAGTTTTGACAAGCATGTGGGGAAATTGGAACTCAGCATCACAACTCAAAGTGACGCTGCCACTGTGGAAAATAGTTTTGTGGGTCCTCAAAAAGCTAAACATACAGTTGCCATATAACATAGCAATTCTACTTCTAGGTACAAACAGGAAGGAATTGTAAGCAGGGACTCGAGCAGATAATTTTATGCCAGTGTTCACAGCAGCACTGTTCACAAGAGCCAATAGATGGAAACAATCCAGGGGTCCATCAACAGTAGAAGGACAAACAGAATGTGGCCTGTCCGTAAGTGGAATATTTGGCCATTAGAAGGAGTGAAGTTCTGATTCATGCTACAGCATGGCTGAACCTTGAAGACATGATGTGGAGTCATAAAAGCCAGATGCACAAGGACAAATATGGTATGATTCCATTTATATGAATGAATTTGCCAATTCTAGATAAAAAGTTCAGAGACAAAGTAGATTAGAGGTTATTGGAATCTGAGGGGATTCAGGAATAGGGAGTTTGGTTAATGTTTCAGAGTTTCCATTGGGGTGATGAGAAAGTTTTGGAATTATTAGTGATGTACAATATTATGAACATAATTAATGCCACTGAATTGTACGCTTAGCAATAATTAAGACTGCAAATTTTGTTATTCTTTTACTACAACAATTTTAAAGATAATATAATTGCCAAAAACATTGGATTGTATACTTTGAGTGGATGAACTGTTTGATATGTGAATTATATCTAGTAAAGCTGTTTATAAAAAAAGGCAAAATGAAGATACTGTCAGACTTAAAAAGCTGAAAGAATTTACCAGCAGACCCACATTGCAGGAAATGTTAAGAGATGGCCTTCAGGGAGAAAGGAAATGAAACCAAGTGGAAATCTGGATCTACAGGAAAGCAGTAGCAATGGTTACTACATAGGTAAATATATTTTTCTTATCATTTAAGTATCTTTAACAGATAATTGATCATGTTCTAGTTTCCTATTCATGTGTAACAAGCTTAGTAGCTTCAAACAGCCCCCACTTCCTAGCTCACAGTTGTGTAGGTGGAAGGAAGTCTGACCCACTCTGGCTAGGTTTTCTGTTCAGATATCCAACAGCTGCTGTCAAGGTGTTGACTGGCCTGGGTTCTGATTTGGAAGCTCTGATTGTTGGCAGAATTCAGTTACTTGTGGCTGTGGGACAAAGATAGGACTGGCTGTCAGCTGAGTGTGGTTTTAGCTCCTAGAGACTGCCTACATTACTTGCCATGAGACACCATTCACCTGCAGGCAGTCATGGCACATCATAGGTTTCTTGCATTTCCAATCTCTTACTTCCGTTCTCTGATCTGCCGGAGAAAACACTTGTTTTCTTATCTAAAGTAAGGGTGTTAGATCAAGGTAGGTTCTGTGTCTTGGTTTGCTTTCCTCAAAAAAGAGGATTTGTAGCAGTAGAACCATTAACTTGCAAATAAAATTTTGCATGGAACTCTAAGGGGGAAAATATCAATCTACAAATTCTTTCCTTCCTACTCCTAGGAATTTCAGACAGTGTAGACTATTTTGGATAATCTCTGATGTTCCCCTTTGTGTGGTGGGTGTTTGCCTTATACACAGCTGGGTATGAGGGAGTCTGGGTTGATTTATGAAACCTCCCGTCACAGCTGACTTTCCTCATGTCTCTTTCTTTTCTCCAGCTTCACCTTCTCAGGATCTCCATTACTCAGAAAAGCATTATCAAGAACAAGGAAGTCATGGAAGCTGAATCGCTAACTGCCCAGTCCCGTGTAAGTTGGGCTGTCTTCTTTGTTTTCCAACTGAGAATCCTTTTTTGGTTAAGTTCTGGAGTTCCTTTGCCTAGGAACTTCAGAAATAGTATCTTGGACACTCTCCTCCAGGAGACTAGCACTATTTTGTTTGCTTTATTTGTAGATGTGGTTTTATTCTTGTATTATACACTATTTATATGCCTTTCATATAAAACAAACGCTGGTTTAACAGTGGTATGGGCAGGCGTCAGTGGGGGTGATATTGAGCACTCTTATAAAATGCTTTCATCCACACTAGGGAATGAAGCTATAGCACGTTTCCTCCCTCAAACATGGTGTGGGAACTAGGAATATTGGGGCATTGGGACTCTCTGGTCCCTGCTTGTCCTAGATACAGAGCTGGCTATACAATGCCTCCATGGGGAGGACCTGTTGGGAGGACCTTAGGCCCAAGTTGTGTACTTACCCCAGGGTAGCTGTGGCCAAGGCATGAGCTCAGATGAGGGGGGAACTTCTGGGAGCATCCAGGGTGGGAGCCTGGGTCCCTTGTCAGCCCAGCTTCCCCTGGAGTATCCTGCATGTATTACCTCTGATATATTGAAAACTCCACCAAAAAAATATTGTAGTTTTTGCTTTCAGCTGTGCTGCATATTTTGAAGGACTTAGGAAAACTAGTCTATTATATTTACCCAGATATTTACTGTTTTTGTTGCTCATTCTTCATTCCTGAGATTTTAACTTTCTCTCTGGTAACATTTCCCTTTTGCTTGAAGAACTACTTTTAGTATATCTTTTAGAGCATGTTTGCTAGTGACAAATTCTTTTACTTCATTTGACAGTATATTTTGCATCATTACTGAAATATGTTTTTATTGGAGATAGAAATTCTGGATTGACAGTTCTTTTTTCACTATTTATTAAAAAACTATTCGGGCAGCCCCGGTGGCACAGCGGTTTAGCGCTGCCTGCAGCCCAGGGCGTGATCCTGGAGACCCTGGATCGAATCCCATGTCAGGCTCCCTGCATGGAGCCTGCTTCTCCCTCTGCCTGTGTCTCTGTCTCTCTTTCTCTCTCTGTGTGTGTCTCTACGAATAAATAAAAAAAATAAAATCTTAAAAAAAAACAAACTATTCCATTGTCTTCTGACCTTCATTGTCTTTGAGGAGAAATCCTCATTCAAGTAGGTGTTGTTTCTGTGTGTAATCCAGCGTTTCTTTTTGATGTTGTGAATGAAGGCCTTGCTTCTGTATCTATTTTTTTTTTTTTGTCAATCTCCATTTTAAAAAAATGCCTACCAGTGTTGAGGAAAAATGTTTTGGATAATTATTTTAGATCATAAAATGGTGAGGTTGGTCTCTTTCTTTCTTTTAAAGATTTATTTATTTATTTTAGAGAAAAGATGTATGTGAGCTGGGGGAATGAGCAGGGGGAGAGGGTAAAGGAGAGAAGCAGACTCCTGGCTGAGTGTGGAGCTGGACATGGGGGTGGATCTCATGACCCTGAGATCACAACCTGAGCCAGAAACCAAGCTATGGATGCTTAATCTACTGAGCCACCCAGGTACCCCAAGGTTAATCTTTTAACCATTAAGTTGTACTTGAACTCAAAAGACTGTTTTGTCCTTCTTTTTTCTACTTTGAATTAGATTCTTTATTTCAAAGAAAATAAATGTAGATTAACATTTGGTGTCCGAATATAGCTGTAGCTGTTTATAACAAACTTTATTTATTTATAAAGATTTTATTGATTTATTCATGAGAGACACACAGAGAGGGACAGAGACAGAAGTAGAAGGAGAAGTAGGCTCCCTGTGGGGAGCCTGATGTGGGACTCCATCCCAGGATCCCGGGATCATGACCTGAGCCTAGGGCAGATGCTCAACCACAGAGCCACCCAGCTGTCCCAACAAACTTGATTTAAATAACAATTCTGGGGATCCCTGGGTGGCGCAGCAGTTTGGCGCCTGCCTTTGGCCCAGGGCACGATCCTGGAGACCCGGGATCGAATCCCACGTCGGGCTCCCGGTGTATGGAGCCTGCTTCTCCCTCTGCCTATGTCTCTGCCTCTCTCTCTCTCACTGTGTGCCTATCATAAATAAATAAAACAAAACAAAACAAAAAAAACAATTCTGGGGAGTCTGATTCTTGGTTTCAGCTCAGGTTGTGATCTCAGTGTCCAGGGACTGATCCCCATGTTGGGCTCCGTGCTCAGTGGGGAGCCTGCTTGAGGACTGTCTCTCTCTCTCTCTCTCTCTCTCTCTTTCTCTCTCTCTCTGCCCTTCCCCGCTCTTTAAAATAAATACATCTTAAAGAAATGTTTTTCTGACAGTTTCTAGAGCATAACATGGAACTGGTTTGGGGACAGTATATATCTAATAGGCATTCTTTTTAGGACTTGACTAGAACCTAAGTGCTACTCAGTTCTGGAATAAATTCTGGTCCATCCTCTTTCCCTACCCCAATGCTGTCTGCCTAATCTTATCTGGCTTATTACAGATTTGTTCTATGTTGTAGACATTGGTGACCTTCAAAGATATACTTGTGAACTTTACCAGGGAGGAGTGGAAGCTGCTGGACTCTTCTCAGCAGATCATGTACAAAGATGTGATGCTAGAGAACTATAAGAACCTGATTTCCTTGGGTAAGACTAACCTCTATTCTCAGAGATATCCCTCTGCAATGATTTTGGTTCATTATTGATCAAAAGGTAATGGGGATTGAAGCAAATATATTACGGTGTGAGCTTGGCATCAGTGATCTAATTTCTTTGTGGCATAGAAGAGGGTTTTGTGGGAAAAAATTTTTTGATTTGTTGAATTTTTAAAAATACATAATTGCCCCCTCTGTAGCCTCCCCTGTCTCTTCAGAGTCCCCCCAACCCAAAACTAAGAAGGAGTTGGGGTTGGTTGGGGGTTGGGCTGAATCTGGGATCCCTTTGTGCTGAGCCAGAGCTCCTCAACCCCTGTCCAGTTCTTTATATTTTGTTGTGCACAGGGCATCAGCTTCCCAAACCAGATGTGATCCTCCAGTTGGAGAAGGGGGAAGAGCCATGGCTGGTGGAGAGAGTGATTCACCGGGAGACCCATCCAGGTGAGCACTAGTCAAGAGGTGTTGCAGGCAGTAGCCCAGATGAGCTATTAGGGGCTGGAATCCTGGACATAGTGGTCACTGGTTCTCATTCCTGCAGAGAAGACTAGATTTCTTTACTTTCTCTTTCCCTATGACCAGTCTTGTCACACTTCATTTGTACTCAGAGACAAAGGTATGTTCTTCATGAAAATTTCCTTTCTGTTGATGTGCTTGGTTTCAGCCCTGTTGGTCTTGCTTTCCTAATTCTTTCCTTTGTCATACAGTCCTTTCTTTCCTCCTTGCCTGCCTTTTTCCTTTCCTGTGGCCCCTTCCCGTGGCCTCATGCTGCATCTCCATGTAAGCCATGCCATGGGGCTCTGTCACTGGCCACTGCTCTGAATTTGCAGAGGGCTTGCCAGTTCCTGCTGCCTTAACTACTTTCTCCCCAGAACTGCTGCTCCCAAAACAACTCTTTCTTACTGTACTCCTGGAGCTCTTTATTGCATGTTTTCTCAATTTATTCCAATTTTATTTTAATCCTACTATCTCTAAAATCCAAATTATTTGGATTCCCAACATTCCTTTCCCCAACTTCCCCATGCATCGAAAATCTGTCAGGGTGCCTGGGTGGCTCAGTTGGTTAAGCATCTGACTTTAACTCAGGTTATGATCTCAGGGTCCTGGGATCGAGTCTTGCATTGGGCTCCCTGCTTAATGGGGAATCTGCTCCTCCCTCTGCCATTCCCTGCTTGTGCTGTCTTTCTGTCTCTCTCAAATAAATAAAATCTCTAAAAACAACAACAAAACCAAGTAGAAAGTTGTCTTTATTCTCTAGAAGCAATCTTTTCCCTGACCTGTGTAAGTGCAGTCCTCTGTTATCTTTCTCCCCAGCCGTCTTTGGGTGCTGCTGTCTGTCATATACAGACAGCCTCCTTGGCATGTGGTGAGGCATGTGACTCCAATGTGGCCCAGGTATACCATGGGGACCTGTGTCACCTCTGTTTGATCTCCAGTATCCACATGTATCAGGTGCTTCCCTGCATCTTGAGCTTTGAGTGTGATGTGAATAAAGTCTGTCTGCCTTAGTTGTCTGTCTTCTGTGAAACCTCTTATGACCCCTCGTCAAATATAGGTTCTTTCCTTTTCTCAGCTTCCACTGTGTTTTAAGTGTACTTTTAAATACCATAAACTGTTTTTTACTTTTCTTACCTTTGGTCTTAGAGGTGACTGTCTCAAATTTCTGCCTCAAAGGCAAGTCCTTCAATATACTCTTAAGAACTTAGTCTTGGGGGATCCCTGGGTGGCGCAGCGGTTTAGCGCCTGCCTTTGGCCCAGAGCGCGATCCTGGAGACCCGGGATCGAATCCCACGTCGGGCTCCCGGTGCATGGAGCCTGATTCTCCCTCTGCCTGTGTCTCTGCCTCTCTCTCTCTCTCTCTGTGTGTGACTATCATAAATAAATAAAAATTAAAAAAAAATTAAAAAAAAAAAAAAAGAACTTAGTCTTGGGATGCCTGGGTGGCTCAGCAGTTGAGTGTCTGCCTTTGGTTCAGGGTGTGATCCCAGAGTCCTGGGATCGGGTTCTGTGTTGGGCTTCCTACATGGAGCCTGCTTCTCCCTCTGCCTATGTCTTTGCCTCTCTCTCTCTGTTTCTCATGAATAAATAAATAAAATCTTTAAAAAATTTGGTGCTGCTGAGATACCATTCTACAAACTGGGTGATGTAAGTGTATCTTCTCACAGCTCCAGAGGCCACAAGTCTGAGGTGAAGGTGTCAGCAGGATCACATGCCTGTGCAGCCCCTAGGAGAGGCTCATGGCTCTGTTAGTCCCAGGTGTTCCTTGGCTTCCCATCAGACCCCACTTTCCCATGGTTGTCTTCCCACAGTTTGCATCTTTTGTGTCTCCTCTCCTCTTCTTAAAAGGACACTGGTCATACTAGATTGGGTGCCAGTCTGCACCAGTACTACTTTATTTACTTACACATGCAATGATCTTCTTTCCAAATAAGGCTGCATTATGAGATATTGGAGGTTAGGACATTGACGTATCTTATTTGGGGCACACACCAACTAAGAATAGAATACCCACTTGTGCAGGGAGAGGTGGTACTTTGTAAGTAGTGTTTTTTGGGGGTGTCTGGCTGCCTCAGTTGATAGAGCATCCAGCTCTTGATCTCAGTTATGAGTGCAAGCCCCACGTTAGGCATAGAGATCACTTAAAATATGGGATTTTTTTTTCTAGGTTAAGAATCTATCATTTTACCCAAAAGACATTGAGAGGCAAATAGCCTTTTAACTGGGGGAAATAATGTGCAGAAATACACACGGATATAAGCAAAAGGACAAAAATGTCCCGGAGGATATGAGTTAGGGGCTAGGGTGTGAATTAGTGTCCTCTGGTATGAGTCCTATCAATTATTGTCTTTTTTTTTTTTAGATTGTATTTATTTATTTGAGACAGAGAAATATAGAACATGAGCAGAGGGGAGAGGCAGGAGAAGTAGACTCCCCCATGTGGGGCTCAGTCCTAGGACCTCCAAGGTCATGACCTGAGCTGAAGGCAGATGCTTAACTGACTGAGCCACCCAGGTGCCCCAATTGTTAAGTCTTGATGTCTCAGAACAAAGGAAGCAAAAATACAAGACCAGAATAATGTTAATAATGATTATTCACCTTACAATACTTAACAATAATCTTATACCACAAGTAGTGTCTCATGGATAAAAGATGAGCAAAGTGATATTTGAAAGGTTTAACAACTTATCTAAATTTACTACTAGTAGCATTAAAGCTTCGATTTAGAACCTGTATCTCAATAACTTAAATTCAATTTCTTTTCCAGCCTGTCACAGGACCTTTCTGAGAGGTGCCAGTTATCTGGGCATTACTCTGTAGTGCTTTGGTGGTATCAACAACAGACACTGCCTCAGCATGTGATTGGACTCATGACTTAGGAATGTGAAATGGGCTGTAGTGTGAAGAATGAATGTCAGGAGAAGGGCCTGGCAACAAATAGATATGTTAGGTTCTTGTGTCATTAGTAGATAAGATCATGGGTATGCAGACCTTTCTATGAGATTTACCTTGTTGCCCTCCAGCACTGAATATCTAATCTTGTGTGTCCTACCCAGTCCTGTGTCTTCTCCTTGCCCTCATTGCACTTCTTACGTACTGCACAGGCCAGCACCTTTCCTTTGCTGCTTTATTCTGCCCTGACTGTCCATGACGGCAGCCATATAAGCAACTCTCTACAAGTTGCATACTTGGTCTCCACATCTCACCATTCAGGCCTTAATGTTTCTTTTTTTTTTTTAGTTACACAAAGTTTTCTCATTTCTTTCAGATTTGGAGACTGCAGTTGAAATTAAATCATCAATTTCCAGTAAGAACATTTCTAAAGATAAACAATCCTATGGCATTAAAATGGAAGGAATTGCAAAGACTGATCTTTGGTATTTGTCATTAGAAGAAGTCTGGAAATGTGAAGACGAGTTAGACAAGTATCAGGAAAACCAGGAGAGACATTTGAGGCAAGTGACATTTACCCAAAAGAAAGTACTTACTCAGGAAAGAGTCTGTGACAATGGTAAACATGGGGGAAACTGTCTTCTTCCTACTCAGCTGGTACTGAGAGAGTATTTCCATAAACATGACTCACATACTAAAAGTTTAAAACATAATTTAGTTTTTAGTGGTCATCAGGAAAGCTATGCAAGTAACAGTGACTGTGGTCAAACCTTTTGTCAAAACATTCACCTTATTCAGTTTGCTAGACCTCAGCCAGGAGGGAAGTCCTACAAATGCCCTGATCCTGTTAATTCTCTTGCTGGTGGTACATCGTTTGATATATCGAAGGGTATACATAGGGAGAAACCCTATGAATGTAAGGAATGTGGAAAATTCTTCAGCTGGCGCTCTAATCTTACGAGGCACCGGCTTATTCATACTGGAGAAAAACCCTATGAGTGTAAAGAATGTGGAAAATCTTTCAGCCGGAGTTCTCACCTCATTGGACATCAGAAGACTCACACTGGTGAAGAACCCTATGAATGTAAAGAATGTGGGAAGTCCTTTAGCTGGTTCTCTCACCTTGTCACCCATCAGAGAACTCACACAGGAGACAAATTGTACACGTGTAGTCAGTGTGGGAAATCTTTTGTTCACAGCTCCAGGCTTATTAGGCACCAGAGAACTCATACTGGAGAGAAACCGTATGAGTGTCCTGAGTGTGGGAAGTCTTTCAGGCAGAGCACACATCTCATTCTGCATCAGAGAACTCATGTGAGAGTGAGGCCTTACGAATGTAATGAGTGTGGCAAGTCTTACAGCCAGAGATCTCACCTTGTGGTGCACCACAGAACTCACACTGGACTGAAGCCCTTTGAGTGTAAAGACTGTGGAAAATGCTTCAGTCGAAGCTCTCACCTATTCTCCCACCAGAGAACCCATACTGGAGAGAAACCATATGAGTGCCACGATTGTGGGAAATCCTTCAGCCAGAGTTCTGCTCTGATTGTGCATCAGAGAATTCATACTGGAGAGAAACCATATGAATGTTGCCAGTGTGGGAAAGCCTTCATCCGGAAGAACGACCTTATTAAGCATCAGAGAGTTCATGTTGGGGAAGAGTCCTATAAATGTAATCAGTGTGGGATTATCTTTAGCCAGAATTCTCCACTAATTGTACATCAAATAGCCCACACCGGAGAGCAGTTCTCAACATGTAACCAGTGTGGGACAGCACTTGTCAATAGCCCTAACCTTATTCAATACCAGACCAACCATATCAGAGGAAATTCTTATTAATACAGTGAATGTGGAGAGTTCTTTATGAAGAGCAATAACTTCATTTTGCATTGGAAACTCCTTCTAGAGTTTCTAGAGAGAAGCTGTATAGATGTAATCTGTGCGGAAGTGTTTTCAATCTTGTTGCCACCCTTTTGTGCACTAGAGAATTGGTCCTAGAAGGGGAAATAACCCACAGATTTCAGTTTAGTACACAAATACTCAGCTTTTCTTTCTACAAATTCCTACAAAAGCAATTGTCCTTGGAGCATTCTTGACCAAGCCTTAAAATGCTAAAATCTGAGAAGGAACCATGAAGTAGGTGAGTTGTGGAGAGATTATCCAGCTTTTTTTACCTTCTTCAGAAAGATAAATCAAGAGTTGCCACTGCAAAGAATCAAAAATTGATACAGTTATTGTAACAAAAGTGGAAAATTGTATTTCAGTGAATTCATACACCATTTTTTAACTTCTGGGATATTTAGTAGTGTTTACTCTGATTTATATGTCTGATTTAAACCACATTTTGGTTAGCAGTAGGGAAAATGCTTATAAGGCAGAAAAAAGAACACATGTACTAGTAATGGTACTTATTTTAAATATATTTGCATGTGGGCAAGATTGGAAAAGTATGGATAAATAAAACAATTGATTTGTTAGGTAATGGGATTGAGTGAGTTTCATAGTTTATCCCATGTTACTTTGATAATTTGAAGGTATTTTTAAATATTAAAAAAAGGATATTCAGTTTTTCTGTTCTATCATCAAGATGCTCAAGAACTACCTGCTAGCAGTCAACATTCCACATTGTTTTGGGTCATAGTTAGAGTTGCACTCTTTGAGACAGGGTGCTAAAGACTTCTGGGAACTTAAAAACAGTGATTCTTTGGATATTGGGACCTAGGGGAAGATTAGGTATTTGAGTGCCCAGGGAAGGACCTGTTTGGGACCTGGTACCCATGCCATACATAGAGCAACCATGCTCATGTGATAGCATTGCCACCCTCCTCAAGGTAGTTTCTTATCTTTATAAAGAAAACGTGGTGGTTGAAGGCATAAGCTTGTGTGAGACTACCCAAGTTGAAATTCCATCTCTGTCTTTAACTGCTAGGTGAGCTTGGGCATGTGGTCTAACCTCTCTGAACCTAACTCACAAATACTCTCTTCTGTGACCTAGGGGTAATATGTATCTTGTAGGACTGTGGTGGGTATTGAGTGAGTAGACACATAAACAGCTTAGAATAGTGCCTGATATATAGTAAGTGCTTTACAATTGCCAGCGGTGTTACTGTCGTTGGCCCACCTTGGTGTGTGTCTTTGAATTTAAATCTGCTTGTTTTAAGTAAGAGCTCATGGGGCTCTTGTTTCCTTCCCAGCCATGTTTCCCTCTTACTTCCATCGCCCTTAGCAGCTTGAGGAAATCACTGCCCATAGTGGGTGTATAAATTAATTTCTGAGGATCAGTAAATGACTTTTAGTATTGTATGCAAAATCATATTGTTTGTACAGAGGTTTTCTTTTGTAGGTTGAGGAGCCTAATCCTCAGATTCTGTGGTAAGTTCATGACCCTAAAAGATTTAGAAAGAGAATCTGTTTTAATTCTCTATTTCATTCTGTAAATTGATCTCCTGCTTGTAGGGACTAATTGTTGTTTGCCATTTGCTAACAGACAAGATATATGGTAGGTGCTTAATGATTGATGGGTTAATGGTAAATATTTTTAGACCCAAAAGGACAAAGATCTTGATATGTCCCAGAAAGAATCTAGAAGTGATTGCTAGTATCATGAGACTTGGAAGCCACAGGGAACATGAGACCATTTAACTTGTATTCTTCCTCATACAGTTGAGATAAGAGGAGTTGGTGCAGCTCTCACATTTTGAGTGAAGTCAGACCCAGAACTAGATCACTGGTCCCTCAGTTACTATTGCTCTCCATGGTGCATGTATACCAATCCCATGTGTGATATATTCCTATCAGAAGGAGTTTTCATGATAAGCAGTGGTTCTTTATGGGTGCGGAAGAGTAGCCCCTTACCTGGGCCTCTTAGAATTCCTGATAACCTATGGCTCAATTTTCCTCAACTGTACAATGGAGGTACTTCTAGTATCTACCTCAGAGGGTTGTTCTGTGGACTAAGTTGAGATAATGTGTATAAAGTATTTAAAACAGTGTCTGGCACACAAGTAGTACATGTGTTAGCTACTACTAACATTACTAATATGAACACACTAAGGAATGTAGGAAGAGAGAAATGTCTATGGATGATTACTAAAACATAAGGGTGCAGAATTTGCAGTATAGAGTGTATAATAGCAAAATGGTTATTTATAGTGTATCTGTGTCATGGAATATTATGCAGACATTAAAATTATGCAAACAAAAGTTTGTTAACAAGGAAAATGTTGATGCTCTCGTGTGTTGAAAACATGATAAATGATTGTTAATATAGAGTAAACTCAAATATATAAAAATAAATGAATTGCAAATAACTGAAATGAATGTTACTCAAAACTCTTACAGAAATTTGTCAAAAGATTAATGAGTTAACCTACTTTCTTTTCTTCCTTTCTCCTTTTTTATACTTTTCTAGTTTTTCCAAAATCTCCTCAACAAATATACATTATTTTTAGGATTAGGAAAGCAGTCCTTCAGTAAAGGAGTATTTTCTATCCTGAGTTTTCATATATAAATAAGCTACTAAAACCTTGATAAGGGAATTTGACAGCAGATTAATCAGTGGTTGCTGGTGGGTCAGAGAGTAACTGACAGGAGATGAGACTGCAGAGAACCCTGACAATGATCTCTGTCTTGATTAGTGGTGGTTCCATGACTGTACTTGTCTGTTCAGCTCATCAGACTGTACATTTGAAGTGGATCCAGATTGTTGTAGGTTTTACCTCAGTAAAATTGATTTATTGAAAATATTCAGAAAACCAGGGATTTCTGGGAAACCAGAGAATCTGCAGCTCCAAGTGAAAGCTAGTAACAATATTAGTATTTGCTTGTTTTATAATTCATCTTTGTAGACAGCTTAATACAAGGTAGCCAATCTGCTAAGCCCTTTAATAAAATAGATTATTTCCACCTATAACCCTATGAAGAACATATTACCCCTATGGCTAAGGGAACTAGAGTTTGGAAATTTTAGTTAATTTGCCCCAATTTACATAGTTAGTGAAGCTTCATATGAAAAATAACCAGCAAGTGTATGGCAGATCTCAAGCAAGGTAATGTCTGGGACTTTTTAGAGGATATTAAAAATTAAGCAGTCCAATATAACGAATAAATACACAGTACCAAATTCGCTCAGACTTCCCTTGAAGAATGTCCTCTCTCTGCCACTATGTCATCATTGTGTCCTATCTTATTTTTTTAAGATTTTATTTATTTATTCATAGAGACAGACAGAGACACAGGCAGAGGTAGAAGCAGGCATCATACAGAGAGCCTGACGTGGGACTCGATCCAGGGTCTCCAGGATGATGCCCTGGGCTGCAGGCGGCACTGAACTGCTGCGCCACCGAGGCTGCCCTGTGTCCTATCTTAAAGTGATACAGGTACTATGTGTAAATGAGGATCCAAAGGTAAGAAAGTAAATTCCTGTGAAAATAAGTAGTGACATGTAAGTTAAATGCACCATCTTACTTAGTTTTTGCATTGATGCTGTTCTTGTGTACTACTTCCACTTTTAATTCACAGTGACTTGCCCCAAGTCACACAGTAAGAAGTGGAGGAGCCAAGGTTCAAACCCAGGTCACTTGGGCTCCTGCACATTCAGTGTTTCCACTACTTCTTGCTACCTCCATATGTGGCTAAGGACTCTGGTGCTATCCTAAGGGTAAAGGGAATCACAGGAATTTTAAGAAAGACTCCAGTATACTCAGTCACCACTGTTAGAAGCTCATAGGGATTCAAAAAGTATTTTATTTCTTCTTTTTAAAGCTTTTATTCATTGAGAGAGAGTGTGTGGGGTCAGGAGCAGAGGGGAGGGAGAGGGAAAGAGAGAGAATCTCAAGCAGACTCCCTACTGATCTTGGAGCCTGACACAGGGCTCGATCCTACGACTCCCAAGACCATGACCTGAGCTGAAACTCACTTAACTAAGCCACTCAGGTGCCCCAGAAACTATTTTCTTAATACTCATCCATGAATTAAGCACATGCTGATTAATCTGTGGAATTGCCTTTCCTGTTACTTGGCAAGAAGGTGGAAGTTTTTTATTTTGTTAACTTTGCCTTAAATAAATTGCAAGCTGACTATGTGCCCAGCATCTCAGCAACTATACAGGAATTGGTTGAAAGAAAGGATATGTATAAATATGTGTTGGTTGAGGTTGGCAAGATATCCCAGCAATGAGATCACTTTTGGAGGTATATGGGCAAGGGTTTAGAGGGTCCATAGATTTGTGACTTCAGGGAGTTGGAAAAGCCAACTGCTTTTGCTCTACACATTAGAAATTCAGCTTTAGATGTTTTTGGGGGTTTTTTTTTGTTTTTGTTTTTGTTTTTTTTTTTTAGCTTTAGATGTTTTAATGACAAAGTTCTCTTATCACACAGTCCTGTGGAAAAATAGATTTAGGGTGTATTACCTTACAAACAAGTTCTTCCCTACCTGTTATGGATAGAATTTTGTGCTCCCCAAATTTTTGTGTTGAAGCCATCCCCCATTGCCAGAATGTGGTCTTACTTGGAGAAAGGATCTTCATAGAGGTAATCATGTTAAGTCATTAGTGCAAGCTACCATCCGGTGGTATTATATTAAAAAATGGAGGGCGGAGATGACATATGGATACTGAGATGCCCATAGAGGGAAGATGATGTGGGAAGACAGGGGTAGATGGTGGGGTCTACAAGTCAGGACAGAGGCCTGTAACAGATCCTTCCTTCACAGCCCTCAGAAGGAACCAGTCCTACCAACCAACTTGATTTTGGACCTCTAGCCTCAGAACTGTTAGAGAAATTACTGTTGCTGAAGCCCACACTCTGTGGTACTTTGTTACAGGTGACCTAAGAGACTAAGACATTGCTTTATTTAAAATTGCAGCCACCCCATTGACATTGCTAATCCTCTTTATTCCCACATTTTCAATATTATTCATTACCCATCTTTTTTTTAAAGATTTTATTTATTCATGAGACATAGAGAGAGGAGAAGCAGAGACATAGGCAGAGGAGGAAGAAGGCTACATGCAGGGATCCCAATGTGGGACTTGATCCCAGGACTCCAGGATCACACCCCAGTAGAAGGCAGGTGCTTAATCGCTAAGCCACCCAGGCGTCCCTATTCATTACCCATCTATCAGCCAACCAATCCTTTGTCTTCCCTTGCCAAATAAAATGCTTCACAAAGTATCCTAGTGTTTTTTGGGAAATATTTATTTCACAGAGAGACAATCAAGCAAACTCCCTGTGTAGCCCAACACAGGGCTAGATATTACCATCCTGAGATCATGACCCGAGCTGAAATCAAGAGTTGGAGTCTTAGCCACTTGAGCCACCCAGATGCCCCCAAGGATCCTAGGTGGGTTTTTTTGTTTTTTGTTTTTGTTTTTGTTTTGTGTGTGTGTTCTAGGGTTTATTTATTTAGGGGCACCTGGGTGGTTTAATGGGTTGTCTGGCTTCAGCTCAGGTCTTGATCTTAGGTCCTGGGATTGAGCCCCACATCAGGCTCCCTGCTTGGTGGGAAGCCTGCTTTTTGCTCTCCCTCTACCTGCTCCTCCTGCTTATGCTCTCTCACTATCTCTCTGTCAAATAAATAAAATATATATTTTAAAAGATTTATTTATTTTAGAGTAGTAGTGGAGGGGCTGAGGGAGAGGGAGAATCTTAAGCAGACTCCAGGCTGAGCACGGAGCCTGATGCAGGGCATGATATTTAGTACCCTGAGTCATGACCTGAGCAGAAATCAAGAATCAGCTGTTCAACCTACCCTGCCACCCAGGTGTCCCTCCAGGGATCCTAGCTTTAATTACTGATGGATCCTCTGTGCCTAATACAGTGGCTAGATCATAGTAGATATTCAATAAATATTTGTTGAATGAAGAAATCAACATTCATTCACTGAGTCTAGAAAGGGAAATGCCATAAACTTCTGGCCAACCAACACATAAAGATACATAGTTCTAGCAAAGAGGAAGGGGAAAGGATAGTTATTAGATAGTGAAGCAACGGTGTGTGCCACATGGAAATAACACCCTAATATATTGTTATAAGGGATTTTATGTGGAACTTGGTAATCGAAGCCTAAAATGTACATGCAAGACCATAGGAATAAAAATAACAGATGATTTTAAAGAACAACAATTACAAAAGGCTTTGACCTACTATTTAGCAAGGTTTACTATAATGATAACAATAAGACTGGTGCACTGGCATAGTGTTGACCAGGAGTCAGCAAACAATGGAAATAGGCCAAATCTCGCCTTCTGTCTACTTTTATAATTAAAGTTTTACTGGAACACAGCCATGTTCATCCAGCCATGTTCATCCATGTATTATCTGGCTGCTTTTGTGCTACAATGGCAAGACTCAGTAATTGTGGTGAACAAAACCGAAAACATTTACTAACTTACAGGATGAATTCTCTCCCCCCAAAATTCCTATGTTGAATTCCTAATCCCCAGTAACTCAGAATGTTGGCTGTCTGGGGTCTTTAAAATGTAAACATTTTAAGTTAAAATAATATTAGGGTGGGTCCTAATCCAATTTGACTGGTATCCTTATAAAAGGAGATTAGGACACAGACACAGAGAGGGAACCACGCGGGGACATGGAGATGACCATCTACAAGCCAAGGAGAGAGGCATTAGAAGAACCAACTGTGTCAACCACTTGATCTCTGACTCTAGCCTCCAGAACGGTGAGAAAATAAACTTTGGTTGTGTAAGCTACCCAGTCTGTGGTACTTTATCATTGCAGCCCTAGCACACTGGACTTTACAGAAAAAGTTCACAGACACTGTAAGCAGATGTCAGTGGAACAAAATATAAAGACTAGAGACAGACTCACATATTCATGGTAGGCAAAATAATGGCTCCTAAAAAATGCCCACATCCTGATCCTAGAATTTCTGAATATGTGATATGGCAAAGGAGAATGACATTTGCTAATCCTCCATTATCCAGATGTGCCCAATGGAATCCATACATCCTTAAAAGTGGAAGAGGGAGACAGAGGAGGAGGCCAGAGTGATGTGACCAGGACTCAACTCTGTGCTGGTTTTGAATGTGGAGGAAATGGACCATGATTCAAGAAATGCACATGGCATCTAAAATCTGGAAAAGGCAAGGGAAAGGATCTCTTCCCTGGAAAGGGTTCCGTGGAAATAAATGGATCCCTGCCAACACTTTGATTTAGCTCAGTAAGACATGTGGAACTTTTGACCTACAGAACTGTAAGATAAATTTGTATTGTTTTAAGCCACCAAGTTTGTGGTAACTTGTTACAGGAGCACAGAGAATTAATAGAACATAAGAAACTAGTTTATAACAGGAATTATTTTACAAATCAGTGGGCAAAGGATGCCAACTCTACATTTCAGTGTAAAACTTGTAGAGCCTTCCTTTCCACATTTAGTATTAAGGATTTATTTCACCTTATGATGTCCTTAGTAGAGCAGCAGAAAGTATTTTATTAAATCAACTTTAGGGATGCCTGGCTCAGCAGTTGAGCATCTGCCTTCGGCTCAGGGTGTGATCCTGGGGTCCTGGAATCGAGTCCCATGTCGGGCTCCCTGTGAGGAGCCTGCTTCTCTCTCTGCCTGTGTCTTTGCCTCTCTCTCTCTATCTCTCATGAATAAATAAATCTTTTAAAAAATCAACTTGAGTCCATACTTTGTAATAGTTCTGTGCAACAGTGTTCTGTGCTGCTTACTGAAGTTCCATAGTTCTCTCTAGAAAAAGTACTTCTGTGATTATTTTATTTGGGAGCTTAACTTTGCTAAAAAATGGACTGAAGACAAGGCACTCTAATGGGCATGGCAGGCATTTTCTCAAAAATCAAGTGAGACGTCACTTCAAGGACAACAAATGACAGTATTTATTTATTGCCAACATTAAATTAGTTTTCTAGGCTCCATTCCTGGTGTGGAGCCCAAGTCAAGGGCCTGAACTCACCACCCTGAGATGAAAACCTGAGTTGAGATCAGAAGCCCACAGGACTGAGCCACCCAGCCGCTCCCAAAATTGGAGTTTTTTTTTTAATTTTTTTATTTATTTATGATAGTCACAGAGAGAGAGAGAGAGGCAGAGACACAGGCAGAGGGAGAAGCAGGCTCCATGCACCGGGAGCCTGATGTGGGATTCGATCCCGGGTCTCCAGGATCGCGCCCTGGGCCAAAGGCAGGCGCCAAACCGCTGCGCCACCCAGGGATCCTTTTTTTTTTTTTTTTTTAATTTTTTTTTTTTAATTTTTCAAAATTGGAGTTTTTAAAGGAGTAGGAGAATTTTGGAAAACTTGTACCTGCCACTGTGAATTTCTGTGAAACTTGTGTCCGCCAGCTTCCAGTACAACACAACTGTCCACTCAAAGCTCAAGACAGATCCTGATAGAGCAGACGTTCATTTCAGACCATATTATAGAATCCCATTTAGCTCGTGCTGGTCACAGACATCCATGATTGTCCTATAAGCATATGAAAACATCCCGTTCTTTCCCAACTACATACTTGTGTGAGACTGGATCTCCCTAAACACTTCCACAGAAACACCACATGCAACAGACTGAACACAGGAGCAAACAAGAATCTAGCTGTTTTTCTTTTCTTTTTTTAAGATTTATCCATGAGAGACATAGAGAGGCAGACACAGGCAGAGGGAGAAGCAGGCTCCCCGCTGGGGCTCAATCCCAGACCCGGATCACGACCTGAGCCAAAGGCAGACCCTCAACCACTGAGCCACCCTGGTGCCCCGCCAGCTGTTTTCTATTAAGCCAGAAATTAAAAGATTTTCACCCGAGAAAAATGTAAAACAATGCCTGTGTTCACTCGTTATTTATTATTTTGGAAGACTTTATTATGAGAGGCACGGAGACAGAGCCAGAGACACTGGCAGAGGAAGAAAGGCTCCCCGCGAGGAACTCCAGGACCCCGGATCAGTACCTGCGCGGAAGGCAGACGTTCAAGGCGTCCCTCACTCGTTATTTTTTAATACTCGTTAAGGTGTCACTTATGTTAACCCGTCCTCATGAATTTCTGAGCTGTTACCATGTGAACTTGGGCTTTAACCATTTCAGAAAAGGAGAGCAGTCGGCACGCTTTCACCGCAACTGGCAGCACTCCCCTCTCTGCGTCGCCGCCTCCACCTCTGCCGTCGTCCGCGGTACTTCACGCCCCCAGCGCGGGCGCCCAGGGTAGGCCCTGGGGAACTGAGCTCCTCCCGGGAGCCCGCCCCGCGCCCCGCGCCCCGCGCCCCGCGCCCCGCGCCCCGCGCCCCGCGCCCCGCGCCCCGCGCCCCGCGCCCCGCGCCCCGCGCCCCGCGCCCCGCGCCGTCGGAGGAGTGCTGCGGGGCGTTCTGGGAGTTGTAGTTTGCTCCCCGCTGGGGCGCACCGCACTGACGCGCTTCCTGTGCGTCCCTGGCGGCCGCCATTGGCTGGGCCCGGCCTAGAAAACCGTGCTTGGAGGTGCTTGTCACTTTCCCATCGCGGTGACCCGAACTGAAGGGGGCCGACCACGCCTGCCTCTTGAGCCGAAGCATCAGGAGCGGACGTCGCAGAGCCGAAAGGGAGTTCGTAGCCGATGTGACTGCATATCCGGGAGGTGGAGGCAGCCAGTCTCTCCGAGTCCCCTGGCTGCCGGCTGAGGGGTTCGTGGAGTCCGACGCACCCAATCTCTTCCGCTTCAGGGCGGCGAGACGGTGAAGACCGGTGTGGCCTCAGCGTCCGGGGTTGGGAGCCGGGAGGGCGTGGGGGGCGGAGAGACAGAGGCTCCACGAGAGACGGCGGGAGGGCGGGAGCGGAGGGACGCGGCGGTGTAGGCCCCTGAGGCCTTCCGGGTGTGGGGGCGGCGGGGGCGGCGCGGAGATTCCGCCTTCACTGTCTCTCTCCTCCGGCAGCCGGGGCCCGCTGGCGCCCAGCACTGAGCGCGGGGATGGCCACCAGGGTGCGGACCTCAGCCATCTGGGTGAGTAGGGGCTCCTGTCCTTTCGGGAGAGCCCTCCCTGAGCTCCGGTCCTTCTCCGGAGCGGGGTTCGTGCGGAACCCCTCTTCCGGGACGCCGAGCGTCAATTCAGTATGTAGAAAACATCAGTTTAAAAAAGGATAGGGGGCAGAAGCACCTGGATTTGGTAACTGGTTGTGTGCTTGTGGCTTGTGAAGGAGGCTGAGCCAGGGATGACCTCTGGGATTCTGCTCTGTGGGCCTGGGGTAGGGGTGGAGCGTGGGTGGAGATTTCTGTTGCGTGTGGACTGTACCTACTTCTTTTTGGTGGGCAGATGGTTATGCAAGTGTCTAAGGAAAAAGATCTGGACAGGTGTACTGGTGAGGTATGGCCAGATTAGCTCAAGGAGAGAGTGTAGCCTGAGAGGAGCGTTGAGGATGGTGCTCAGGGAATTGACAGGAGGCAGCAGAATAGGGACTGGAGGGGCGCCCGGGTAGCTCAGTGGTTGGGCGTCTGTCTTTGGCTCAGGGCGTGATCCCGGAGTCCTGGGATTGAGTCCCACATCAGGCTCTCTGTAGGGAACCTTCTTCTCCCTCTGTCTGTGTCTCTGCCTCTTTCTTTGTGTTTCTCATGAATAAATAAATACAATCTTTAAAAAGAAGAAGAAGAGGAGAAGCTGGAGACTGACCCAGAGCCCATAGAGATGAGAGGAAAGGAGAGAACTTGTACTTCAGAGTTAAGGGAAAAGAAACTTCAAAACGGATTGCCATGTCCAATGTCCCACAGACATCAGGTAACATTAGTCATAAAAGTTCAGTTTGGATTCAGTGGTGATGGTAGTGGTGGGTGTTGCCGTTAGTATTTCCAGGACAGAGTGAATGTGTATGTGCTTTAGGAGGAGTGCAGTAATGAGAACAGCACACCCACAATGTACCAGGCCCCGTTCTGGGTCCTGGACATGTACTGCTGAACAAGCCTGACAGAACCTGTGCTCTTGGAGAGTTCTCATTCTACTGGAGGGGGGCAGATGACAGAAAATGATGAAGAAACCACTCAGGCAAAAAAGAAAGTATCAGAGTTGAGTTACACTTAGAATTAAAACTGGTAATGTCAAAGATTGGGTGATTAGAGAAGGCCCCACTAAGTCAAGGCCTAAGTTACAAGAGCATGCTGGCCCTGGGAGGAGCAGGGTGGGAACAGCCATTGCCAAGATCATGAGAAGGTTGATGCTTTTGTAATAATGGAAGGAAGGCTTGTGTGGCTGGGGTTGTGGACGTGGTGGGGGGGCGGGGGCAGACAGAGGGGGCAGGGTGGGGAGCAAACACAGAGGTGGCTGGAGGCCAGATGAAGCTGAGAAGCTGTTTGTTAAAAGAGGAGGCAGCACAGTGTACGTAGGTTTTCAGAGATCCTTCTGGCTAGGTAGACAATGGGTTGTAGATGGACAAGAATAGATGGAGTGGCAGAAGAGGGCTGGCCAGTTAGCTTACTGCAGTTGTGCAGATCAGAGATGGTGGAGGTTTTTATCTAGGGCAATAGAAATGGAGGAACTAGCTAGAACTGGGAGCTATTTGGAAGTAGAATCTTCTTCTGAGAACCAGCTTATTCTTTTCATTTAGCCATTTGAGGGATCCCTGGGTGGCGCAGCGGTTTAGCGCCTGCCTTTGGCCCGGGGCGCGATCCTGGAGACCCAGGATCGAATCCCACGTCGGGCTCCCGGTGCATGGAGCCTGCTTCTCCCTCTGCCTGTGTCTCTGCCTCTCTCTCTCATTCTGTGTGACTATCATAAATAAATAAAAATTAAAAAAAAAAAAACTACATTTAGCCATTTGACATTTTTCAGGGTGACTTATTTCCCTTAAGCAGTCTTGTATTTGTTACCATTCCAAACAAATAATTATAATCAGTATTGACTATTGTGAGGTTTTGTGCTAAGTCTTCTATACATATTACTTAATGCCTGTAGTTAGGAGCCAGGTTACAGCACTGGTCGGTGTAGAGTCAGGACTGGAACCAGGTGGTGTGGCTCTGTACCCATTTCACTGGCTAGTGTATTCTACTGCCTTAGGATATAGGTTGGGAATCTCAGGACACAGATTTCAGCATCCCGGGCCCTAATGGTCATTCCTGTTTACCTAGAAATGGTTACTTTTCAGCTCTTTGGACCCAGGAAATGACAAAAGCAGGACCGGTTAAGTATATCTACTCTGGTTAGAATGTGGGGTATGATAGAGAGCCTGGGCTTCTATGTAAATGTAGACAGTCCCACTCAGGGATGGGGCAGAAATGTGCACCAGAGGGGCCCTGTCCCTGGGTTTCTCCTTTTAGGTATCAAGATGATACTTAGTAACTAGAAGACTGATGAGTATGAATTCTGAGCAACAGGTGGTGATCATTGGAAGGGACATTTCATGGAGGCCTTGAAAGCCCTAGACCCTCTGAGGATGCTGAACACTTGTTGGCAGGTTTTGTTTTTTCCACTCGCTTTTATTGTTTGGCTACTTTCTGCCATTGACACTCCTCTCCCACCCTGTCTTAAATATATTATTACAAATTCACTTACATTTCTAGGGGCTTAGAAAGACTCTGTCTCCCCCCCCCCCCCCAGTAGGAGTTGATTGTATTAGCAAAATTTGTCTCTGTTGTGCTTCAGTACGTGGGCAGGACTTCTGCTCCCATGGACCCCTTCAAACACTGTCACCATCAGTCCATGCTAGTATCGTAGTTTGTAGAGCAGTGAATGAATTGGGAATGCAGAACGGATGTGAGCTGGAATGTGGGGAGGGAAGGGAGTTTTAGAAGGAGGCGTTTCTGAGAAAGTGTGGCTGGTCCTCCTTTGCATACCCTACTGTTTATCCGCAGCTTTCCCCAGACTGACCCTCTTGGGGAATTCAAAGTTAGAATGTGGCAATGTTTATTCATTAATTACTTGCTCAAAACTAACAACCTTTACTAAACGCTTGTTTATATATTCCAGGTACTGATTTGGCACTGAGGATACACAGGTCAGAGAGCCCTGGCCCCAGCCTCTCACATCTTCCAGGAGGTTCAGAGAAGGGACTAGGGTGGCAGGCAGCCACGGGGTTAGAGCTGAGGCAGAAGGAAGCCCAGGGGATGAGACTGAACAGTGTGCATCTCAAAGGATCTGTAGGATTAGCTGTGGAGGAAAGAGATATTGAGGCTTCAGCAGACAGGCTGCCTGTGTACGCAGGTGCTTCCAGCAGTGGGGGGATGTTCAGGGATGGTCCTGGAGCCTAGCTAGAGCGAGACCCTACTTTCTCGTCCTTGGCTGTTAAGAGTTTAGAGAGGAGAGGGGATGCCATTTGGTGGCCAGTTTGCATTTCAGCCACCCCTCCGTAGCTGACTTTGAGCAGACTACTCATCCTCTCCAACAAACTTAAAATTATATTTTCCTGATGAGTAGAATCTTTAATGATTGTGGAGTTGCTCTTTATTTCCAGGGATTCTTTTTTCCCTTAAAGTTTATTTTATGCTCATAAAGCTACTGGAGCTTCCTTTTGCTTGTTTTATCTTTTGTATCTTTTTATATCTTTATATTTTAGATGCATCTTTTTTAAACAGCATCAGTTTGGTTTTTTGTTCTTCATCAGTTTTCAATCCTTTTATTTATTTATTTACTTATTTATTTTTTAAGATTTTATTTATTCATTTATGAGAGACAGAGAGAGGCAGAGACACAGGCAGAGGGAGAAGCGGGCTCCCTGCAGGAAGCCCGACACGAAACCCTGTCCCAGACCCCAGGATCACGCCCTGAGCTGAAGGCAGATGCCCAACCGCTGAGCCTCCCAGGCGTCCCAATCCTTTTATTTTAAATGGAACACCTTGTTTATGATTGATGTAATTACCGATGTGTCTGGGTTTAAATCTCCCGTCTTACTATATGCTTTCTATTTGCTATACTCGATCTGGGATTATGTTTGTTTTTGTTTTTTCTTCTTTCTTGCCTTTTTATTCTCTTCTCTGTACAGAGGTTGGAGAGTTATACACATTGTTTATTGCTTTACATTAAAAAAATTAATGGCTGTTTTCTGGATAACTTATAATTTGTCTTTTAATGAACTAATTCTAATCTATTAAAAATATTATGATTAATATGTTTTCTACCTTTTTTTTAAAGAAAGTATTTATTTATTTATTTACTAGAGAGAGAGCAAGCATGTGTGCACACAGCAAGGGAGGAACAGAGGGAGAGAGGGAAAGAATCTCCAGGAGACTCCCTGTTGACCGTGGAGCCCTATGCATGGCTCTATCTCAGGATCCTGAGATCATGACCTGAGCTGAAATTAAGGGACACTTAACTGACCAAGCCACCCAGGCGACCCATCCATTTCTATTAATTCTTTCCCTTTTTCAAATATACTTACTAGGTCATTTGTCTAATTCTGGCCAAATTATGAAGTTTGCTTTTGTCTCCTTGAATGTAATAAAATGTTTGCTTTATAATCAGTGGCCATATATCCCAGTGTATGTTGTCTTTGAGGGTTTCTTTCTATTTCTTGACTTTCATTAGGTGTTATATCATCTTGTTTTCTGAAAGTTTTGTTATCTTGTGCACTGGTCACTGTACCTGGAAATTATTTGAAGTAGGGTGCCTGAGTGGCTCAGTCAGTTAAGCAGCTGAATGTTAATTTCTGGTCAGGTCATGATCTCAGGGTCTTGAGATTGAGCCCTGAGTGGATTATAGGAATGGCAGGGTACATGCTTAATTCTTTACCATTAAGTGCCAGGGTTCACTAAGGTGTTGATGCCATAATTACCTCCATTGGTGACAGCAATGAGTTTGATTTTTTTTGTTGTTAATTTGAGTATGATTAAGAAATTCATTGGGCACCTGGCTGGCTCAGTGGTTGAAAGTCTGCCTTTGGCTCAGGTCATGATCCCAGGGTACTGGGATTGAGTTCTGCATCAGGCTACCCATAGGGAGCCTGCTTCTGCCTCTGCCTGTGTCTCTGCCTCTCTCTGTATCTCATGCATAAATAAATAAAATCTTTAAAAAGAAATTCATA